ATTATAAAGTGCAGAAAGGAGGGGGTAAATGTCAGCGCTATCACACATTGCAGAGACAGTTTTATTGCTGCGAGCACACATTTCTCATTGTTCAATGGTCTCCTGGAGATTGTAAAGGAAATCAGACACTCAAGATTTATATCATGTGCTGAACATCTGGGAGATTGTTTCTGAAACATTTTCTGGTCACACTTGCTGACTATGCAGATGAGAAATGAATCATAATGCCAAACTGTTTTTCTTTTCCTTCAGGTCTCAGTATTGGGACTCTCACACTGTATTGAGCTGTGGCAATGCATTTTCCTGCATAGAGCTTTATCGTGCATTGTGTCCTGTGTTCAAAATAAATGAGATGTTGTAACAGCATAAGACACTCCTGCTCTGCATTGTGGCAGCTGGCACGTTGTGTATTTGCGTTGGGGTTTTATTTCATATGCATGGCGACACGGTATAAAGCAAGCAGTGTGTGAACGGGCCCTTAAGGTGTCTGTTGTAAGAGATACCCCACAAGCCCGTAAGGTATCCGTTTTAAAGTACAATTCCTTTTTTCATTTTATTTTGGTTTTGATGGAGGATTGTCCCTCCCTTCTAGTTACAGTTTCTACTTGTCACGGGGACAGAAAATGACGGGAAACATTCCAAACAGAAACACAGACGGCAATAAAACCAAAAATTAGTGTCTCTGCAAGGTCTATATTGCTATCTGTGGCTTTCTGTACCGGTGCACCTGTTCCCTTCATTTCATGTTCTTCATTTCAATCTCCCGTATAATTTACTAATTTGTATTGAGATTGTAGTCCATCACAGGAGCAAGCTTGGAGCGGTGACTACTTTACAACAAACACAGGGACCATGGGGAACAAAGTAGCCACACTCCAGAAGGAAGAACAGTGTCAGCACCAATTCAGAGATAATTTGAGGACCTACAGCCCAGTGATAAATAAAAAAAGATACATTTTTGTTAGTAGTTAAGGTCCTTGAATGTATTTTTAGGATTTAACTCCTGAGTTTAGGTGTAGTTAAGCTCTGATGAGCAAAAGTTTCACTGATGCCCAAATCAGTATAATCCTCTAGGAATATTGCATAATTATTACCTTCCCACAGACATTAGGTGGTGGTCGAATGTGCTTGAACAATGTGACACTTACGTCCATTTTATTTGGGATAGGAGCATAGACATGCAAGTGCAGGGGTGGACTGACTGTTCGGGCTCTCGGGCAGCAACAGGAGCTTAGCACACCGCTGCCTGTCACTGATGTTCAAGGCTAGGGCAGACTGAACACCTACTGTATATGTGAATACCAGGGGGCCTGGCAGGGGACTTTCCACAACGCTAGTGCAGCATCCAAGATTCTCCAGCATTTTATATCTATTCAAAGAACAAGAAATGGTGAGCAAAAACCTACAAATGATGCCCCTCTTGCTTGTCAATTTGATATTAAGGATATGTGAATAAAGCTGAATTTGTTGTACATTTACCTCCTAGACATCAGAGAAAAACAGATGCAGTTTGTTAGCGAATTGGAAAAACTGTTGTAAACAGTGCAGGCAGAGACAATAGCAAAGAGGTTTTGGCCTTTTTGTGATGACATTTCTGTATCCCAGGAATCGCGGCTTGATTTCCTTCAACTTCCTTCGGACCTCTGTGTTCTGTGCGTTACTTCCTTCTGACCTCTCTGTACTCTGTGGATTACTTACTCTTGAACTCTGCGCTTTGTGCATCACTTTCTTCTGACCTCTGCGCGTTACTTACTGCCGAGCTCTGCTTTCCTTACTATTGAACTCTGCATTATTTACTGCTGAGCTCTGCGTTATTTACTACTGCATATTTGGCAATCTGTGTTTCTTACTACTGACCTGTGCACTCATGCTATGGTTCTGGTCTGCAGTCTGCAGTGCATCGGTTCTCGTCTGAGGTCTGCAGTGCATCGCTTCTGGTCTGAGTTCTTCCGTGCATTGGTTCTGTTCTGAGGTTTGCTGTGCGTTGGGTCTGGTCTGAGATCTGCCATGCATTGGTGCTGGTCTCAGGTTTGCCATTCCATTGGTTCTGGTCATGGGTGGACTGACCATTTGGGGGCCTTACCAAACACACTGGAGCAGGGGGGTGGTGAGGGTTTGCCTATCGCACATGTAATAATTAGGGATGCACAGATACTTTTTGAGTACCAGTGCAGATACTTGGCATTTTCATGAGAACTACCAGAGTCTGCAACTCTGGTAGTGGGAGTGGGACCTGGCTGGTAGTGGGACCTGGCTCCGGCACTCCACCACTGTCCTGAAATCATTAGTCTGTATTGTTTTAGAAAAACTGTCACATGACAAAAACAAAAATGTATCAGTACTCGTACTCGCAAAACTGGTATCTGTGCATCCCTTTATTTATATTTATAAAAACAAAATCGTACATTAAAACAGAGATGTACAAATCCCGGGAGCTCCGTGTGCTCCTTACAAATGATAGCTGCCTCCTAACTTTTTAATTTTTCTCTAGTCTTGCAGCTCAAAAGTATCGGTACATGTACTTGTACCGAGTACTGTACTTGGTATCTGTGCAACCCTAGTAATAATGTAATATGTGCCCAAACCCCTGTTCCGGTCCTAAACTATTCAGTTCTCCTGTCCATTCTCCTACGAATTCTCTTGCCAAACCGGAAAAATTCTGCCATTTAGCTCACTTTCCAAATTGCATTCCCCTGCAGTTTACCTTTTAGTGAATAGTCTGTTATTTTGAAAATTAGTGTGGAGAAATAATTTCTGTAACATAAAAATGTACATGTGGGTGGGGCTTGTGGGTGGGGGGGGACAAAACCCCCCCCCCCCCCAA